TGAGGAGGGGGTGTGGGGTAAGGAGGGGGGTAAGGCATCAGTACCAGGTCATCAGTGACCATTTTATTTTACAACTGTAGCCTTATTATTATGAATTATAATTAATAATAATTATTGACGGTAATAAAAAGAACAATGTGAAAATAAATGGAAACATTGATTCTTTTCTCCAGATTACAGTCAGTACTGAGGCTAATCAGTGGGGGGCGTCAGAGAGTGGAGAAAATAGAAACAACATTTTCAACAACAGTGGGCTGCAGCACCCCCCCCCCACAGACCCCCCCCACACACACACACACCTAACCCTCCTCTAACTTCACCAGTGAGGACTTCAAAGACTGAGACCTATTAAAGATCAAAGCTCTCATAAAGACAGAGTCATCTGTCAGCCTCTGCTGCCAACACCCTGGGTGTGTGTGTGTGTGTGTGTGTGTGCAGGAACCATCAACGTCATCTAACACAGTAACAGATGATCAGAGGTCAGGGTCAGAGGTCAGGAGACATCGTCAGATTAGGGTCAACTTTCACCAACAAACAGAGAAATCTTCTCAGTTTTTTCCTCGATCATTTTCTAATTCTTAGTTGAAGCCACAACATTTCACCACCGCAAAAAAAAAACAAAACAAAACTTTAGGCTGGGATTTTAGGAGAGTTTATACATGAAAGTACGGTAATCAGCATCGTTGTAGGTCAGCAAAACCATAAAGACAAAGAGATTTATTCACACACACACACACACTGACACTGACACACACCCACACACTAGCCACGACATCAGGCATCAATTATAGAAAAAACAGAGAAGTTGGAGAAGAGTTTAACATCCACCCACACACACACACACGCACACACACACACACGCACACACACACATACACACACACACACACAGCTCTCCTCATAGAGTAGGCCGGTGTTTCAATGAATAATATACCAACTCCCCCAACACAGAGGGGGGAGGAGGGGGGAGGGATCACCCACTCTCTCTCTCTCTCTCTCTCTCACACACACACACACACACACACACGTACGACTCAACACTATGTCAACATCCATTTTTGTTTACAACGACCAGATGAAGAAAACATGAACCTGGAGAAGAGCCCAGTTAATGAG